AATAAATAAATAAATCTTAAAAAAAAAAAAAAAAAAAAGAGTCACACGCTCTGCTGACTGAGCCAGCCATTCACTTCCCATCTCCCACCTGTGGCCTCTGGCAACCACGAGTCTACTTTCTGTGCCTATAGACTTGCCTATTCTGGACATTCCATATAAATGGAATCACAAAACACCTATCCCTTTGTGTCTAGCTTCTTTCAGTTAACATAATGCTTTGAAGGTTCATCCATTGGAGCATAAATCAGTACTTTGTTCCTTTTTATGCCTGCATACTGTCCCACTGTATGGATAGACCACAATTTGGGTATCTGTTCTTCTTCTGGTGGACATCTGGGTGGTTTCCACCTTTTGGTGATTGTGCATCATACTTCAGTAGACATCGGTATGCAAGTCTTTATTTGAACCCCTGTTTTCACTTCTTTTGGGTATCTCCCCAGGAACGGGATTGCTGGGTTAGATGGTTAAGTCTTTACCTTGTTGAAGTAGACTTCCTTCTAGACCAAGAAATGACTAAGGAATTCACGCATATTATGAAGTCGAACAGAACTGAGTGCGCAAGAGGAAGAACGATGTTCTCCTCCTCATGCCTTCGTCCTCCCTTCGCTCCCTTACTCACAGTTTGATTTCTATCTTTTCTCTGCTGTTTATCTGCACGTGCATACATGTACACACACAGTTGTTTAGAAACGGTATTGTTTTATAAATACACTCTTCCACAGTCTGCTTTTCTCCCACCCACACCACAGTGTGTTGTCAGATGTGACATTAGGAGCCACCCCCCTTCAGGATCCAGGCACCCTGTGGCATTCCATTGTCTGGATTATGTCGGAGCTCATTTAGCCCGAGCCCTACAGGTGGGCATTTAGGTTTGTTTCTGTGTCGTTTGCTATCTCTCTTAGCAGTGCTCCCCGAGCACTCTTGTTTAGCCAGACTTGGGCATCTGGGCCAAGAAAGAGTCTTGGGAGGAAATTGGCCAGATTAAAAGGAAATGAGTATTTTAGGATCATGACATGTATACTGAACCATCCAAAAGTCGTACCCATTTATGTCCTTGCCAACAGTATCCAAGAGTGTCCATTTTCCCACATCCTCACCCACACTGGGTGTGTTCAGTCTTTGGAATTTTATGGTATCTCACAGTTGTGATTTTAAAAGCAGCTGTTTTGATCATCTCACCACTTCCTTTCTCTTTCAAGTCGCTTAACTTAAGTTGGATTGTTTCTCTTTTTTTTTTCAGCAAAAGGAAGGGCATGGTGTGGATGGAGCATCCCTCCCAAGAAGCCCCTGGAAGCCTGGTTCGCTCCGGGAGAAGTCTAGGCAGACAGAGTGGAAAGACAGTTGTAACCAAGTCCCCAGCAACTGTCGGGGTAAAAGCTCGGTGGGGGCTCTGAGCCCTTCTGACAGCACTCCAGAAGATGAGGGAAGCTTCCAGACTGTGTGGGCCACAGTGTTTGAGCATCACGTGGAGAGACACACAGTGGCTGACCAGTCGCGACACTGTCCCTCGGCCACGCCACACAGAGATGTGGCAGATGCCCATGTCTCAGAAGCCAGACCCAGGCACGAGAGAAGCTCTTGGCTGGGGAAGGACCTGCCGGAAAAGACAAACCTCACGAAACAGAACTCCAGATGGGTTGAAAATCCCAATACAGAGAAATGGGGACAGACCACCCTTTCGAATGGTGAACCCAAACAGTATCACGTGCCCCTCCCGGAAGAACACCCTTTGGATGAAAAACGCCATAAAAACCCCTTCCTCCAACACTCCGAAAATCCTCCCCCATCCCAGAGGGTCGAGCCCAAGTATGACATCCTGCACACGGTGGGCAAGCGTGTGCACAGTGAGGCCGTCTCCACGGCGTTGGAGGAAAAAGCCGTGACCCTGAGAAGTGGCAGGTCTCAGCTCTCACCGAAGGAGAGACAGCAGTCCCATGAGGTCACCCCTGCTGACCCAGAGCGCAGGCTGGGAGGTCAGGCAGGGTCTGTCCAAAGGGCCAGTTTGATTTGGGAAGCTCGAGGGACTCATGAAGTCAGTGGGCCAAAGCCGGACTTCCGAGAGCCGAAGGACACGTTTGGGGGCAATTGCCTGTCACCCAAATGGACAGGTGGGGTGACCGTGAACTGGCATAAAGCCACTGTGGTGGCCAGTGAAGAGAAAGGCTCGGAACCGGGCCCCGAGATCAACAGCGAGCGCTCAGCCAGGCCCTGCGGCCCCCAAGCCAGCTCTGGGAGGGCCACCCAGGCTGCCGTCTGGGAGGCCCTGCAGGAGGGGCCTGATGAGGCCAGGAATAAGTCAGGAGGCTGCAGCTCAGCGGGAGAAAGGGGTCCCCCCTGGGGGTGCCCTCTGGATCTTCCTCCCAGGGGTAAGGACGAGCCGTCTGACTTCTGGGCAAGGTCGCATCCAGAAGAGTGGGTGCAGAAGGGACCCCTCGCTGTGGCTGCTGGTGAGGGTGAGCCACAGCCGGCCCAGGCACCGGAGCCCGAGGCCAAGATGCAGAAGGCGGGTCCCCTGGACCAGAGGTTCGAGAGGTGGCGGCGGCGGACGTTGCCCCACGACGTGAAGTTTGACGAATTCAGCTTCCTGGCCCCAGAAAACTCTTGGAAGGTGGAGCAGAGACGAACAGACCATTGGAGCCCCACCCCAAGTGCCTTAAGAAAACCTGAGCTATCCCACCACAGGGTGGAGACCCAGGAGGTGAGCCCAGGTGCTTCCCAGGACCCGACTAGGCCAGCCGTGAAGCAGGGGTCCTCTTTGGAACCCAGGGCGACATTTTTTGCAGTGACGTATCAGATTCCCGATACTCAAAAAGCAAAGAGCGTTGTTAAGCCAGGGCCTGAAAACTTGATGGAACATTCTAGAAAAACAGTCCCACCTCCTTCTCATCCTCTAACATCCACATTGGTTTCTCTTAACCATGAAGAGCCACTGGAGGCCAAGGGCAGTAACAACTGGGCTAAGGGCAAAGAGCGCCATAGCGCAAGCTGTTCAAAACCTCCGAAGCCAGCAGACCACCCATCACCTCTTGGGTACAAGACTCTGGATCCTTCTAGTGAAAGAAGCATGGATGCTGATGCTTTATGGATCCGCTGGGGACCAGAAGATGGCATCGGTTTTCAGAGCAATCGGAAGGATAGTGGGAACAGGACACCCCCCAGCAATGCCCCCAAAAGCCACCTGGAAGCCAGCGATCTCCTCATCAGAAGGGACCCTGAAGTGGTCAGTGCGAGGGTCCCAGGGAAAATCAAAGATGGCTACAGATCCAGCGTTCTCGACATTGACGCCCTGATGGCGGACTACAAGAAGCAGGAGGGCCAGGAGTCAGTGGTGGGTACGCCCACAGCGTCCAGCGGCTCGACTTTGGAGAGGCCTGGCCGGCAAGGCAGGGTGGACCCAAGAAGGAGGAGCTCGAAGGAGAGGTCTGAAGCTGAGGGTCTCCGGAAACCAGCCAGTTTTGCCGAAGCAAACCACGGTTCCAGTCCTGGCTCCGGCCAGCAGCCAGCAGAGGCCCCAGGGGCAGCCGCGAACCCCACACTCAGCCCTCGTCTGTGGGCTTTGCCACTCTCAGCTCCTAATGAAAAGTATCCAGGGGCCTCTTCTGGCCCCGCGGGTCCCTGGGGACAAGTTTTGGGAACCCCTGAGGGTGACAGAAAGGATTTGGTTAGTAAACCTCAGAGTGCAAAGTATCCGAACTCCCCAGACGAGTCAAAGCCCACTCCCTGGGAGGATCTGGGCAGTGGGGCCAGCGTGTTGGCCAGATCCTCTCCCACTGACCAGAGGAAAGGGACCCCAAGGAAATCCATTGGGAGAGGAGAGGAGGACAGTGTGGTCCAGCGGGGTGATCACTCATACGACTGTGGCAGGTCACCGCTGAGTGTCAAGAGGGCCTATTCGGAGAAGGGGCCCCCTGCCAAAGTCCGAGAGGGCCTGTCTGTCATGCAGGAAGCCAGAGAGAGGAGGCAAGAGCAACCCAGAGGGAGGTCCAGCCTCCCCGGAGACAGTTCTGAGGCCAAGGAGGCCAAAATGGGTCCCTGCCGGCGAGAGTCGGGGACTCGAGACGGTCAAAAGGTGAGCAGGAAGGCTGTTTTGGTTTTGTAAAACGTTGGTTAGACACATAGGCCAGGGGTCTCAAACTCCCATCCCACGTGGGCCAGGTGGGTATGTAAATGAATGGAGTCAGGCTGATTGTGGGACTCTAGGGAGTGGTGGGGATTGTGGCAAAATAGCTCATTCCTGGGGGGGAGGGGCAGAGGCAGCTATTGCCCAGGTCCAGCTGGTTCTTAACACGTGCTGGCTCCATTTAGTCCATGCGCCACCAATTTGAAACCTCTGGCCCAGAATGATGATGATCGTTTATCGAGCACCCGCTGTCCGTTCCAGTATATGTTGTTTCCAGTTCATTATCCTGTCCCTCATAAGCAGCATCCTGCATGGATGACATTTTATGAACATGCAAGGAATACTTGTGGAATGAGTGAAGGAGCAATCTTATGTGAGTCTCATGGCAATCCCTCTTTTGTGGGATTGTGGTGGTTTGGGTTTCCGTAGAAGCAGACCCTTGCAAGCAGTTGTTTTATTTTTATTTTTTAAGATTTTATTTATTTATTTATTTGAGAGAGAGAGAGCATGAGCTGGGGGAGGAGCAGAAGGAGGACAAACAGACTCCCTGCTGAGCATAGAGCCCGACACGGGGCTCGATCTCACGACCCTGTGATCATGACCTGAGCCGAAATCAAGAGTCAGACACTTAACCGACTGAGCCACCCAGGTGTCCCGCAGGTAGTTATTTTAGAAGGTGATCCCTGGCAGGATCCCAGTGGAGAAGTGAGGCAGGGAAGGGGGAGGCTGATGAGAATGGTGCCCCTGTGGCCTCTGAGGCTCCTTCTTGCTGGAGACCTCTGGGAAGTGGCATAGATCACCCCTGACTTGTCCTGTCCCAGGGGCAAGGAACCTGGCGTATTTATTTTCCAGTTCCCTTCTGCCCTCTCCTGAGGCTATTTCTGGGGCTATCGACATCCAGACTCTTCCATCCTGGCTGGTGCCACGCTCAGTGGCGGAGAGTAAACTACCCCCCAGCGGGACACCATTGCCATTGGCAAGTACTTGAGTGTTGGGCAGGGCAGGGCGCCCACAACGTCAGTGGCAGACCTGATCGTCTTGTACAGATGGAAAAAACCCAGGCTCAGAGAAGTTAAGTAACTTGTCTCGGGTCACACAGCACCAAATGGCAACCTACGGTTTGAACCCAGGTCTGGCTTGACACCCAAGCTTTCAAATAGGCTCCTCGGTGGTGAACGAGGAACCTTGAAGATGGGGAAGAAATCTGAGTATCAACCCCTTATCCCTCTCTCGCCCATCCTCAGCATTCCTCCCACCCCGTGACCACTCAGCTTCTTTTCTGGTCCAAATTCCCATAGAGTTTCTTTCTGAAAATACAAGCAAATATGAACACAAATTCTTACTTTTGCCTCTCTTTTCCATCCAAGAGAGCATTCTCTTAACGGGGTTGAAACTTTGGTTGCATATGGATGTAACCCACCTCGGCTTCTTAGACTGAGTGATGAAGGGCAAATCCCTTCTCCGAGGTTCTGTGCCTCAGTTTCCTCATCTGTAAAAAGAAAGTAGAGGGTCCAACCTGGACAGGGACATGGTAGAAATGAAACAGTGGGGTGAGGCCAATACAGATCGTAACACGAAGGGTCACCCAGGGCTTTCCAGGTCCCGCGTTCACACGCCAGTCTGCCGCTCACCAGCTGTGCGTGAAGCAGTGACTTTGCCTCCCTGGGCCTCAGATCCCTCACCAGAGTGGACAGAAGTTTCTGCCCGGCAGCTCTGTGGGCAGGCCCGGTGGGTGCGAGCGCAGGGCCGGCCCGTGGGTTCTGCTGAGGCGCCGCCCCAGGAGGGGTTCCACGAGGCTGTTATTGTGGGCACAGCGGGAGACGGGGTAAGATGAGGAAATGTGACACTTAATCCATTTGCCAGCGCCTTGCTCAGGGGCCTTCTGGCAGTGGGAGAGTCAGGGCGGCATGGAAGCGGCCCCCCGGCCCGGCCTTGGATGCCGGCCCGGGATGCGCAGGCCCCAGGAGTGCTTGTTGTCAGAGGATCTGTTTTCTCACCGAGGGATTGGGACGCCTTGGACCAGCTCCCTGTTTCCCTTCTTTCCTGCCCAACCAGCTTTGGTTCCTGATCTTGAAAAAATAGATAAGAGCCACCCAGAAGTACAAAATGTTGGTCCTTAAAAATTCTGACCTTACGAGAGTGTATAAGAGAGTGTATCCCTGGACCCCACCCCCCACCCCCCGCCAGGGAGCCACTGTTCGTTTTCGGGATCTTTGGGGCTTTCCTACACCACAGAGTTGCATCTCTATTTGTAGTTGTATTTTCCTTCCTGCAAAAGCAGTGCACGCTCGTGTGAAGTTGAATGTGTTACGGTAAGCACACGGTTTAGATTGAGAGGCTCCTCTAAATGATGAGTGTGGGGTACAGCCTTCCAGCATCCTACCACGCACAGATGGGCTCCCTGACCCCCAGCCCTGAGAATCATCCCGCCCCTAATGCACGTGGCTCCACAGGTAAGGAAGGCCAGCCAGGTACAGATACAGGTAAATCACATGCTGTCTTAATGGAAACATGGCAACGTTCTACAGAAAATCTACAACTTGCTTTTTTTTAACTTAGCAGTTAAAAAAAAAAGCAACCAGTATGTAGATAATCACTTTATTATTTTCAGTGGCTGCAAAGTACTTTGTTAAGTGACTGAGCCCAAACTTTTTTTATCCGGACACTTGTGGATGGACATTTGGGTTGGTTGAGTCTTTGTGTCACAAACAGGGCTTCAGGGAGCATCTTGGTGCAAGCGTTCTCCCCCCTGGGTGAGGCTTTCTTGATTCACAGTCAGTGCTGCCCACATATCCCGCGTGGGGTGTGTTTGTACTTAAAGTGATCCCCCCTCCCTCCCTCCCTCCTCCTTCTCTCTTTTTCTTTTTCACTGAAGAAACATTTATCAAAGCTTTGTCCCATGACGGATTGTAGTATTCTATTTAATTAACTGATTTATTTGAATTTCAAAGGAGAGAACATTGTCAAGAGGCTCCGAAAATACTTAAAGGAATGGAGTATCAACCCCCTTGTCCTCTTCTTGCCCATCCTCAGCATTCTTCCCATCCCGTGACCACTTAGCTTCTTTTCTGGTCCAAATTCATATAGACTTTCTTTCTGAAAATACAAGCAAATGCAAACACAAGTTCTTTTTTTTTTTTTTTTTAAGATTTTATTTATTTATTTGAGAGAGAGAGAGAGCACAAGCAGGGGCAAAGGGAGAGGGAGAAGCAGACTCGCTGCTGAGTGGAGAGCCTGATGCAGGGCTCGATCCCAGGACCTCAGGATCATGACCTGAGCCGTAGGCAGACGCTTAACCGACTGAGCCACCCAGGCTCACATCCATATATGTGTCTTTGAGAGCTTTCGGATTCAGCCTACAGGGCGTCCTCATTCTTCCTGATTGCTGTACGGTAGAGATGGGTGATATTCCTGATCTTTTGCTAAATACCAACCATGTTCTGACGTCATTTTGCACATGAGCAGGTTTTCCGTGGGCTTGGGGTGGTGAGTGTCTAGGGGGAGCACCGTTGTAATTTTGCAGGATCCTGCCCGAGTGCCCAGCGTTGGGGGGCTGTACCTGGTCCCATCCTTGCCCTCGATGACAGGACCCCGTTTCCCCTCCGCCTGAGCCACCTGGTACATTACCAGACTTGGGGATGTCATGCCCCTGATGAGCGCCCCTCCTCTTGTCACGTGCATGAGGCTCTGTTTTTCCTTCCAGTCACCCACTTGCTTATGTTCTGCCCGCTGTTCTTTTGGAACCTCGTCCTTGGTCCTTTTTTCCTTGAGTTGTTGGAGTTCTTTATTAGGAAGGTGAACCATTTATACTCTTACGATTTGATTTCTCCCTGGAAACAGCCCTGGACTGCCTATTGGGCAGACCTGGGATCAGGCCGTAGCTTTGTGACTTACTAGCTGTGTGACTCTGGGCATCTTGCCAGACCTCTCTGAGCCTAAATTTCTTCATCCGTGGAATGTGAATCCTGCCTGCTTCACAGTTTATTGGAGATTTATTGTGAAGCAATATGTGGTCAAGCTGCTGGCCAGGGCCTGATGTGAAGGAGGTTTGAGGGAATCAGAGAGAAGCACCTCCAGACCTCCACTCACTTACTAGATTTAGTAAATGGGCTAACCCTGTGCCAGGCCCTGTTCTAGGCACCCGGGCTGCTGGGAGGGACCAGGCCACGGTATCAGGCCACGCCATGTAGTAAGGTAGCGACCAGCCACATGTGGCGTCAATGAAAAACCACAGAATTTAAATGAAAATTAAAGTTAAACAAGATTAAAAATTCAGTTCCTCGGTCCCACTAGCCACATTCAAGTGCTCAAAAGCTATGGGTGACTCATGGCAGGTGTATTGTATGGCCCAGATAAAGAAGATCTCTGTAACCACAGAATGTTCCAGTGGATGGCTCCGGTCTAGGGGGCAAACAGACCTCAAGTGAATGAGAGTAGTTAAGTCCTGGGGAGATAGAAGAAGAGGCGATGGGGAGATGACTCTAAGAGGTGGTCAGGGGAAGGTCTCCTGGGGAGGGGACCTGAAAGGTGCCACCTGAGTGATGGCCGTCATGGGGATGAGCTGCTCCCGTGGATGCTGGAAGGGCACCAGCTGGCACAGGGGGCCGGGGCCACTGATTTCCAAGGCAATTGCACCATTGTACATTCTACCAGCAGTGCGTGAGGGCTGATTTCTCTACATCCTTTGCCAACACTTACCTGTCTTTTTGATTCTAGCCATCCTCCTGGGTATTAAGGTATCTCATTGTGGTTTTGACTTGCATTTTCCATGGCCCATCTTTCCATGTGCATGTTTGACTATGTGTATCCCTTCTTTGTCTGTTCAGATCCTTTGTCCAGTCTTAATTGGGTTATTGTTCTTTTTGTTATTGAGTTGTAATTACTCTTTATATATTCTGGACACAAGTGCCTTAGCAGACATAGGATTTGCAGAAATTTCCTCTCACTCTCTGGGTTGTATTTTTCACTTTGTCCATGGTGCCCTTTGAAGCACAAAAGTTTTTCATTTTGATGAGCTCCAATTTATTTTTTTTTTTGGTCACTTGTGCTTTTGATGCCATATCTGAGAAACCACTGCCTAATCCAAGGTCACGAACATTTAAGCCTATATTTTCTTCTGAGAGTTTTCTAGCTTTCGCTCTGGCATTGAGGGCTTTGATCTATTTTGAGTTGATTTTGGTTTATGATGTGAGGTTTGCAGCATGTTTCGAAGACAGAGTCTCAGCTTTGTTGATGAGGTGGAGAGAAGCAAAAGAATGGAGGGCGACCTGAAGATCTTGGCCAGCACAGCTGGGTGAGGGGCAGGGCAGGGGAGGAGGAATTTTGGAATTTTGGAGGGAAGGAATGGAGAGGCCTGTTTGGGGCATGTGAAGGCTGAGATGAGTGTGAGCAGTGTGGGGAGATGTGGAGTGAATGGTGGGATCTGCAAGTCAGGGGTCCCAACATAGACAAAGTCGGGAGTTGCTGTGCACAGATGGGATTTATTTAAAGCAAGGGGGTGTTATGAGAGAACCCCGAGGGAATCAGATGGAGCAGGAAAAGAGAAGGCTCTAGGGCTGGCCCTGGATGAGTAGACATCCCTCTGAGATGTGGGGAGGCTGAGAAGGAACAGCCAGGGGGTAGGAGGGCACACAGAAGGTCTCGTAAGGCATCAAGAGTCTGTGAGGCAAGGGATCCAGAATCCAGCCTTGCTCTTTACTTGTGCTGTGTGTTCTTAAGCAGATGCCTTCCCTCTCTGGGCCTTCCTTCCCTTATCTGTGCAGGGAGAGTGTGAGACATGTGCACTACAAATTCTGGAGTCCCATATTTACGGCCTGTGAGTGTATCCCCTATATATGACCGGCTGGAGCAAAACCACAGAATTCAGACTAGGGTATCTAGTACTGCCCTGTTCCTAGATCATTTCTCTCTGTATCTGTGCTTCTGTGCATGTGTGTTTGGAGGCTTGGAGAAATGTCTGACATGAGGTCACCAAAAGTTACCAGTGACAATAATGAGGCTGGCTAGCCCTTATGGAGGGTTCCCCAGGTACCAGCCATGGGGGAGAGGAGCCTGAAGCAAGCCAGGGGCCCTGGACTTGTGCACAGCGCCCCCTGGTGGCAGCACGGTGTCACGCACTTTCCAAGCGCTGCTCCTCACTTGGTTCTCCCCTGAGCCTAGAAGCTGAGTACTGTTATTAGGGGTCTTTCCCCACGTGGTCATGGCTCAGAGAGGTTAAGGCATTAACCTGAGGCCACACAGTTATTAAGTGGCTGAGGCTGGCCTGAACCCAGACCCCATATACTACCTCCCGTCATTAAGGTAGACTGCCGCGGGGTGGGGTTTCTGGTGCCTTAATTTTCTTTTTGCCCTTTTAGGCACAGAACGGACTCTCTCGCTGTGACATATTCTTCCCATAAATGGGAAAGCCCCAGTAAAGTCCTCTGCTTGTGTTCTGTACCACAGGACCTGGGGAAGGAGGATGCCCTGCCGGACAAGGAGCAGCCACTCTGGCAGGGGTCCCCCGTAGCCTCGGGCCCCTGGAGGAGCCACAGTTTCTGCAAGGACAAGAGGAGCGGGCCATTCGTGGTGAGTGATGCTGGCACAGCTGGACTGGGACTCGCGTGGGGTTGGTGTGCATCAGACACCACTGGGAATGCGGTCGTGTGGACAGTCAAGGCTGGCCCAGGGGCCCAAGGAGGCCGAGGGTGGCGGGGGCCTGTCCAAGAATCTGGTGTTGCCGGACTGGCTGCGCGGTGGTTCTTGACGTGGAGGGTGTTGGTGGCTCTGCCTTCGCCCCTCTCGGGTTTCTGGCCCAATGCAGAGAGGTAACCCCGGCTGCCTGGCATGGAGCCAATGAGAACATGCCCTGGGGTCTGAAAGTTCGGGGTTCGAATCCCAACACTGCTCCTCTCAGTCTCTTTTAGCGACTTACTTCTTGGTACTTTGGTTTCTTTACCTAGAAACCTGATTTCTGTTTCTTTTGCGCCGGTGAGTTAATTTAACTAAGCTGGTCCTGGAGCCAGATCACCAGGGCTCAGACCCTAGCTCTGTGTGCGGACAGGTGTTTGGCCTCAGTCTCTTCATCTGTGAAATGGGGATATTGACAGCATCTACTTCACAGGGCTGCTGCAGGGCTCAGAGAAGATAACGCGGCAAGTGTCCAGCATGGTCCTGGGTGCACAGCAAACGCTTTCCTGAGAGTTATCATTACCATTATTATTATTATTCTTGTCCCCAGGCCCCGTGTGGGGCGCCTAAGATAGGCATTTCTTTAATGAGGCAACCACAGTTCTACTCACGAGGTCATTTGTATCGTAAGCTTGGTACATTTCAAGGGTATTTGTGCCTGGTCTCATGTCTTGGAGACCTGGTATCCTCCAGCGTTGGAAATCCTAGGTTCCATGGCTTCTGGCTTTAAGGTCATGAGCAAGAAACTTCATTTCCCTGAACTTCTGTTTGGTCCTCTGCAACACGGGGGGGGAGGGGGGAGGAGACACCCCCGGCGGGGTTCTAGATGGAAAAACGTCTATGCCAGGATCAGCAGGGCTGACGGCAGGGCTGGGGGCCACAGAGAGCCAGAGCAGGAACGCAGACCTCGGCGAGCGTCCGCTGAGCGGCCCTGGAAAGCCTCCTTGGGTGTTCAGATCCCAGCCACAGACGTGCGCACATTTGAAACCTGCCTTTTTTTTTTTTTTTTTTTAACATTCTTTTCCACTGATTTCTTCCTTACTCTTTTCTCATTGCCTCCCTGGCGGCACCGACTCAGCTTATCTGATTGTACTTGAACTTTTGTGTGTGTATGTGAAGACAGAGGTTAGGGAGAGAAAAGCATTTAAGGTCTGTCCTTTTATAGTCTCTGCTTGCTGGCATCCTCCCTGGTGGCCCGGCTCCCCCTCCTCCACTCTCTGTCATTGAGGAGACTTTGTCCTTGGAATCCCTAGGGGGCTTCCTTGGCTCTGTACTTGCGGCTCCCCGAGGCCCCTGCCCTGTTGCTGCCTGCTTGATTTCCTCTTCTCCCATGCAGGTGGGGACGGTGGGGGCCTCAGACCTCGTTTCCCAGCTTTGAGGACTCACACCTGCAATTCCAAGGAGTGGCCACCAGGGGGTGGTGGTGTCCAGCTCACTTTCCCATGGCTCCAAAAGCCTCACTCCAGGGGACCTAAGCGTTGGGCTCTGGGGGCTGAGAAGTGACTTCCAGTTCTGGCTCTGCCACTGTGTGGCCTTGGGCAAGTGATCTGACGGACCTCAGTGAACCTCAGTTTTTTCTTCTGCTTCTGTAAGATGAGGACGGTCTTATCTGGCCTCAAGAGCATTTCTGTGGGGAGTAGATGAGCTCGCTCAGCACTCCGAAGAAGAAATCCTCAGTGAATGCTGGGGCTGCAGTGATGGCTTTTCCTTCTACCTCCCCCTCCTCCTCTCCTCTCCCTTTTCTTCAGCTCTCTCATTGTAAGAGGGGAAACTGAGGCCCAGAGAGAAGGCCTGACTTAGTCCGGGTGAGGACTGGGGTCCTGAGCCCTCGGCCCTGCTGGCAGCCCCTACTCCTCTGGAAGGCAGTCAGGCCTGTGTGTCGTACTTCCTGACGGGCTTGGCGGGGGGTGTTCCCCTGTGAACCGAGTCTACTGCTCCCGTCGCTCTCGATTAATGACTTTGTGCTGCTGGTTTCCAGTTTAGGTTCAGGTTCATCTCCATTTTTTGAGACTGTGTCTTAGGACTTGTCCATCCCCACTCCACTCCTCATGTGAGGGAGTATGAATCCCATATTGTAGAGGAGGAAGCTGAGGCTCAGAGAGGTTAAGCCACTTGCCCAAGGCCACACAGCATGTGGGGGAGCTGGGTTGGAGACTAGTCCTCTTCTGCTTCCAGCCTTGGACCTGGGCCCTTTCTGCCATGGGACTGTGTCTCTGGACCAGCCTCTGCTGGCGCCTCTCTGGGCCTGCAGCACTCGGCGTATCAGCTCATGAGGGAGCAAGACAACCTCGGCCCTGGGGCTGAGAATGTGGTATTTGTTCAGCCCAGGGTTGGCCGCCAGCTCTTCTGCCACGGCCGCCCTCTGAAAGATGTCTGGGACTTGCCAGGGCTAATGCCCTGCTGATTTGCATAGCCCCGCCCACACCCGGCTGACCCACAGGCTGGTCAGACCCTGAGCACGAGGTCAGACCGGTGTGGCCCTGGCATTTAATAGAGGCAGTGAGCAAGTGAGTTTACCACTCGCGGCCTCTCTTTTCCTCCTCCGTAAAAATCATAGTAATAATAATGTCTAATAGCTTACAGTGCTTCCTGCGTGGTATGGAAACTAGTATTATCCCCATTTTACAGATGGGAAAAACTGAGGCTTGGAGCCATTAAGTACCTCTCCCAGGTTGGAGCCGAGCCGAGATGATGTTTATAAAGCACTTAGCACAGTGCCGCCTGAAGAGTAACTGCCTGTTTAATGTTACCTGCTATTATTGTATTGTTTATTATTTGCTATCAGTTTGTTTTTCTTCTGCGTTCTCTGGAAGAGCTGCTCGATGGAACAGGGAAGCGCCTCCAATCTTTTTTGGAAGTTTTTCTGCTGTTGAGGAAGCTGAGCCCAGCAGGGGGAGGTGTCTTGTTCAGGGAGAGTCCCACAGCAGCCAGGACAGAGCTAGGACTGCAGACTCGCTGGCTAGTGCTCACTGCCCTCCCCCCACCCATATTGCTTTCAGGGCTACACTTAGTAGGGCCTTGGATCCTTGTGGCAAATCTGAGCCCTGCGCCGGGCCTCGTCCCTCACCCACCCACGGATGGGCGCACCCTCCTTTCCCCAGAAAATGAGCCTTTGGTCTGCACTCATGCAGGGATCATAAAACACAGTGACTCAGTTGTGGACCATGGCCTTAGGTCACAGTTTGTCCCAGAGGCCCCTCCCGTGACTAAAGGTACAGATTCACCAGCTGTGGGGGTTCCCTGTTACGGGGCAGGTGGAGGGCCTCTGCTAACCTTGAGAATGTTCTCCCAAATCTGCAAACCCTTGGCCAGCATTTGCTGGCTCATTTAGTGATGGGCTCATTCTCTCATGGGCCCACTGTGTGCTAAGCCCTGAGTGAGGGGTACTGGAGATTCTCCCAGCCCCCCTGGGGTTACAGTTCAGGGGTACCTGAAGATGGCCTAGGAGGGTCTAGTTAGGTGGAAGAGGAGGAGAGGAAGGTCACTTGGGAAGGAGAAATAGCATATGCAAAGGTATGGGGGTGGGTGATGTAAGAGGCATGTCTGGGGAACACGGAATAGACCAGTTTGGCTGAGATGGAGTGTTGGGGAGGGTCTCAGTCTTTTCTTTTGGCAAATATTTATCTGTATGTCCTTGGTGCTGTGCTGGGCGTTGGACTACAGTTATAAAACAAGACACAGGTACTTAAGAAGGTAGATAAACAATTGCAGTTCTGTTCATTGAGTGCTTACTATGTGCCAGACACTGAGTCTTGTGCTTTACCGGCATTCTTTCATTTAATTTGTTCAAGGTTCAAAGCCTCTCAGAGAGGAGGCACACTTGTTTGAAGTCTTGAAGGATGAACAGTTGTTTGCCAGATGGGTGTGGTCTGGGAAGAGATGATTTGTCCCCCATGGAGGGAAGAGCTTGGGCAAAGGTTCAGGGGCGTGAAACTGTTCTATGCAGTGAATGTAATCTAGAGTCCAGGAGACGGGCTGGAGTCTTATAATCGTTGATGCGTCATTCCTGGACACCCCCGGTGTGTGTTTTAATGCTGAGCTCAGACTTTTCCTACATCTCTTGCTGAGGAAACCAGGATGCTTGTTTTTGAAAGATGGCACTACCTCCTGGCAGCTCTGCCCTCGTGCTGCCATCTTCGTTCAAGGATCTGCCGGAGCAGTCTTGAAGGTTTGAAAGCACTTGAACCTGATAACTTCATTATAATGACTGGAGGATGGAGGGAAAAACCAGCTGGGATTCCAATGCCAAGACTTGTGAATGCAGTCAACTTGAGATAAGACGGAATTTGTGTAATGGCCCCCAGTGGATACATTGTAGGTCTTGGTTAGATACTCTCTTTGCATTTCATTTGGTTGACTAAGCATTCAAGTGGGAAGGGAAAAAAACAAAACAAAATGGAAGAGTCTATATGAACTGCTAGAAATAACTCCTCAGAGATTGTGCTTTAAAAACTAGCTGTGGGGGCGCCTGGGTGGCTCAGTCCTTAAGCGTCTGCCTTCGGCTCAGGTCATGATCCCGGGGTCCTGGGATC